TCAAACCTCAATAATTCCATCCTCAAATCTCAACAAAACTAACAAGTTGGACAAAACAAAATCAGAAAAGGTAATGAAGATCTGGCAGAGTAATCAGAGAGCAACATACACTGATCACAATAGGCTGCCATTTATAAAGTTCAAGATCATCGAACTTCGAATCCGAAAATATTGTCCAACATGATGCAAGCCACTACTCAACACATTCAAACTAAAAGTTCAAAACTATCAAAATCTTAAATGTTCTGAGAAGGTAAATAAATTTAAGGCAAAAAAGGAGATTCCGATGTGTAGAACGAAGCTCGCATAACAAAATTTTAGGCAGCACCCTTCCCCTTCTTCCTCTGGATCTTCTTCGAGTAGAATTCCAGCTCTTTTCCTTCCAAGATATACCTGTCAAACACATATCACATCATATTAGAACAAGAATGATGATAGATACGATGACTGGAAAAAACAAGTTGCCCATCAATGACATACCCATCACAACGACCACACTGGCCAGGCCTTGAAGAGATACAAGCCAATAAACGACCGCTTGCAAATTGATCCTCAATATGAGGGTCCAGCTTGCGCTCCTGCTGACGTCTCTCCAGCTTCCTCACAACATGGTTGCTCTTCTTCACCTCCTCAGTGCCAGTTTCACCTTCCTATAAACAGCGATACCATCATTTGAAGATGTAAAGAACCAGACACATCATTATGATAAAATTTGCCTATAACAACCAAGATGGAGGAGGCACAGAAACCAACTGATACACTTATGCTAGCATGAACAAAATCTATGTTGCCTCAACAGTTAATTTCCTTTGATGTATCAGAGTTCAATACATATCCAGCAGACAATGTATCCGGCACATACTTGTATATATATATATATATATATATATATATATGAGCCCATACGACTCTAATAGTGAGGGAAAATCAGTTGCAACAAGTAGATACATCATGCAAAGATGAATAATCTATTGCTGGAAAACGAGAAAGAGAAACTAAAATCAGCTGCTTAGTGCTTACTAACAACTAAAGTTAATACACCACTAAAGCAGACAACATCAAGGTTTAATTTCCATCCAACACTTGCACAAACCAAATAGTTACCACTACAACAATTAACCGAAGATACCATGTGACAAAAACGTTAAAAAATAATCACCATACCTCTCCTTCCTTCTTGGCTGCTGTTGTTTTCTTCTTGCGACCGATTTCGACACCGTAGTGCTGGAGATACCATTGCTTGAACGGGGCAGCATCAACTTGAACAATAGCACTCTTCACCAGAGTTTGGGTACGAACCAACTCATTGTTGGATGCATTATACACAACATCCAAAACTCTGGTCTTACGAGTCACGGATTCACTTCCCCATGAGTAGTTTCCAGTGTCGAGCCTCAGTGCACGCCACTTAACATTTCCTCCACGAACCCTGACCCTCCTAACCGTCTTGTTGCTCGACAGCTTAGTGTTTGCTGGTTGCCTTCCGAGCTCATACCTTTAAAAATAGACCATCATAGTTTAGAAAAAATATACTAATAAGAAATACCAAATTAGACAACCCAATAAGGAAATTGGACAAGATATCTGGTCAAATGTGATACATTTGATCAATTAAACTAGAAAAATCAAAACATCTTTTAAACCATCCTAAATCAAATTTATAAGCCAAGAGAGCAAAGCAAAAAATGATTTAAGACCAAAACACAAAAACAAGTTTGCAGTTAGCACATTACTTTCTCTTCTTCCTCCAAGCCTTCTTTTTACCACCAGTGGCACGTCTCTTATGCATCGAATCACGAGAAATACCTACAAACAAAAAGAAATTAAACGCATTAACAAATAAAATTAAGCGCAGAATTAGATAACTTAGGATAGATTAATGAAGAATTTGATGAATTTGATAAATACCCATTTCGGCAGAGGCAAAAGTTCAAGACTGCTTTGGTGCTTTTGAGTTGAAGCAAATCCCAAAAGAGAGTGAAGCTAGGATTTGAGAGGCAGCACAACAGCCATAGGCGGAGATTGAAGCTTTGCTATATAGTAAAATCCTAGCCATTTGAAAATACGGTAATACCCTCGTAGGATTTGATTTGTTTTAGGGCAGAGTGGTCAATTAGTGCATTCTCCCTTTAAGGCCCAAAAAAAAATATTTGGGCTCTTGACTTAGGCTTAGCAGCTATTGGATGATTTGGATCCTAAACTTTCGGTTTAAGTATTTTCTTGTCGCGATTCGATTCAATTTAATATAATTTTAAGCACGAATCAACTTACTTTAGTGATTAAATGAATCGTTGTTGTTCTTAAAGATCATGACTTCGAGCACTAGCTACTGCAAGGGTGATTGAGTATTCATTATTAAATGGTTGAGATTACTTATATAAAATATTATTTTGTAATCAACTTTAGCTTAATAAAAATAACATAATTTTTAAAATATTTTACCTATGATATTTATTCTATGAAAAGTACATTTATATATTTGAAGATAAAAAATGGTACGAGATCTATGGAATACAAAGAAGATAATTTTTTATTATACTACCAATAAACGACGACACACTCGCACATTATAAGTTGGGTCGTGACATTTTTAATTTAAATAAATATTTTTAATTTAAAATTTAAATTATTTCAAATACAGTTGTGTTCTAAAATTATAATAATATTTTTTGGTTTATTTAGAGATATTCATAGTGTGTTGGACATAGCAATGCCATTATGTGAAAATAGAATTACTACTCTGATGATTACGTTAACATGTAATTTTACATGAAAATACATTGTGTTCTAAACAACTACAGATGTGTTCTAATAATTAAGTTTGAATAAATTTAGAAAGATCTACATAAGTTTGAACAAATTTTATATTCGAGGAACATCAAGTTTCAATTGCTAAATAAATGTTCTAAAATAAATATTAAAAAGTTAAATTTAAAATACACTAAATCAAAATTTCAAATTAAAAAAAGGGTAAAGTATAGTAATGGTCATTGAACTTTTCTAAAGCTTTCATTTAGGTCCCCCAACTTTTAAAACTTACAATACAACCCTCCAACATTTAGTCCGTTTGCAATATAGTCCCCGACATAACCGACCGTTTGACGTCGTTAGTACGTTTGCAATATGGTCACTGAACTTTTCAGCCGCTTGCATTTAGGTCCCTCAACTTTTAAAACTTACAACACAATCTTCAATTTCATTCTAAACCCTAAATTCCTTTTCGATCTCAAATTTCCTTTTTCGATTCTCTCTTCTCATTTCCAGCATAACTTTTCATTCGGGGATGCATGGGGATACATGGCGGAAAATTGAAGAACAAAAACCAAACGAGAGTGCATGCGAGCGAAAGAGACTAAGAGGTGAATGCGCTGTTTGGAATTTCATTATATTTGATCATCTGTTGGAAAATCTTTAACTACAAGGATTAAACGAATAAATTATTATATACCATTTATTCAAAATAATTCCAGCTTTGTTGATGACTTTCAATAATAATACTTAATTCATCTTAGTAGTATTTGTCAACTATGTATTTCTAACCCTATTTTTTCTCACAAGCATTTCATCGAACATATATGCTTCACCTGAGATGACTGTATCTAACATTACATCTTGAATCGTTGATGGTCCCGATAGTCCCTTGGTCGGGTCTTCTCTCAATGGACCCTTATTCAAGTCAATACATCCACATAATTCAAAGTTAGATTAGAATTTCTCATACATCCCCGACTTAAAAGTTACACTGGAAATGAGAAGAGAGAAGCGAAAAAGAAAATTCGAGATAAAAAAGAATTTGGGGTTTAGAATGAAATTGGAGATTGTGTTACAAGTTTTAAAAGTTGGGGGACCTAAATGCAAGTGCCTGAAAAGTTCAGTGAGCATATTGCAAACGTACTAACGGCAGTGCAACGGCGTCAAACGGCCGGTTACGTCGAGGACCATATTGCAAACGACTAAATGTTGGAGGACTGTATTGTAAGTTTTAAAAGTTTGGGGACTTAAATGAAAGCTTTAGAAAAGTTTAGTGACAATTACTATACTTTACCCTTAAAAAATGTAAACACTTGATATTCATGAGCATATTTTTAAATTTTGAATACAGATGATAAGAAAAGAAAGATGAGGGCATACATACTTGCGCGAAAATACTATCTGCACGTGTGTGAGTTTATTCAAACAAAGTTCAGGGACTGAATGCCTACTTCTATCTTCTTCTTTTAAAAAACCTAACAAGTGGAAAATAGAAACACACAAAACAAAGTTGATTGGTTAGTGGAAGCCTCCTAAGATCCACATGACAAAAGGCATAAAACCAAGTCCCATGCACTTTATCAAAGGGTAAAAGGACAAAATGCCATACAACTTCACATAAAAGGCACAGAGTTAGAGGACCACAAACATGGTATTATCTATTTATGGTCGCCCACTATACAGGTAAATTCCAAATGAAAGCGATCTAAAAAACCCTAGCAAGACATATCCGGTTTACTCGTGTTTAATATGAGTATCCAGAGATAGGTATGAAAATATGTTACTTCAAATACAAGAAAAAAAGTTTCAAAAAAAAATGGGACATTTGCATACGGGACACGTAACATATCCGATATTTTATCTCCCAAATCTGTGTAACATAAGAATAGCCATTGAGAACAGATATCCGAAGAAACACAACCAGAATGATAATTGATGCAGCATGGTAACAATTCTATACAATCTGGATAGACCGAGTTTTCGATCACATTGGTATACATCTCAATCATTGGAATCAAGTCTTTCATAAAAAAAATAGCACGGAGATGGTTTTATCTTGTTCTATACACGTGACACAAAATGAACAAGAAAAGAAAGACGATGAATGCGTTCACGGATGAGCTTATCGGCTAAAGCAAAAACGCTTACAGAAAGAGAGATGTTGTGCCAAGTAAAAAATGAATCAAAATGCTTGTAAATTATTTGATTAGGTTTTTTTTTGTTTTTGTTTTTATAAGAATTAGGTTTTTTTTTATGGATATCCCTCTAAGAGTCTAATGTTTCACACTAATAACTTGAACAGAAACTCCTTACAATCTGAGAGAAAATTGATTCCGGATAATACGAAGAAACCGTAAGGACAAGAAGAAGAAGCAGCCCTGCTAGGCATTCTGGCAGCTGAAAAGGTTATATAAAGGAAAACTGGAAAAAATATTCATAACCTATTTTGATGTGCCACTACCGGTACAATTTTTTCGGAGATGCATGGTATGTTTAATCGGAATCAATCCTCCAAAGTATATATCCCACAACCTGATTGTATACCTCACTCAAATGCCAAGAAAGGAACCTAAAATGTTCACTACTAAAATAAAACAGAACAAAAAAAAAATCAAATCAAATCGGATCTCAAACCTTACAGAAAATCGCTTGTAAACTGCTCGCTTCAAATGTATTACCAAATCAATAACCCGAAAATTCATTCACTCTACATAATAACTTCCGATATCCGAATAACAGATCTCCTAGGCAGCAATTCCTGCATATGAAACAAACAGATAGGCTAATTAACAAAAAGGCAGCAACTAGCATTCCCCTCTCAAGGTTCAACATATCAGGCATATATAAAATGCTTGTATTATTGAAGTTCTGGTCCACTTATAAAGTTAATGTTCCCGACTGATTTCTTCCGAGTTATTTACGACATCAGGGAAGTCGGATAAAGTAAGTGACACCAATGGATTCTGTCGTGGTACCACAAGAAGAGTACATTTAGTCGGCTTTACTTAGGGGATGTGAAACAAGACATAAACAACTAAAGGTAATCTTCAGAGTCCTTTAGAATCAAATAGGCACAAAACAAGTAGAATCTCCATCTAGAAAATAAAATAATATTGAAAAAGAAGAGTATGATCTTCATTTTAACATCCGAACTCTATAAAGTTGAAACAAGTTTGTTCCAAATGGCTTTATCCTTATTCTCTTTGACTCGCTCTGCTAATCAGATGCAAAAAAACGAGTTTTAAGTATAGGTACCAAGCATTATAGACACCAAAGCAATAGATTCCAAACATCAATAAACTATGACTGCAATTACGTAATTGAACTTTGAACTACGGAAGTAGTTATTTCCATCCAGTTGAATCTTAGAGTAGACGTAATGTAAATTCATAAGCGATTTCTAAAGTGTCCACTTCAAGAAACTAAATAGAATATTACCTCTATTGGTCTGTCTATTACCAACACTGTAACTTCCAACATAGTCCTCGGATGTTCTTGCAGCAACTTCTGAGGATATATTGTCAAGCCCATACCCGAATGAGTCAGAACCATCCAAGTCAGGAGTTGCAGACCGCCAAGTTGGGTCACCATAAACTGAACCACCACGGTAAAGATCCCCATAGGACCCCTCAAAATTACCCGTTGATCCAGCAAATGATGATGATGGAGCTGCAACAGTGCCAGTGTTTCTTCCGTATCCTGCCCTTGCAAAACCAATGTTATCATTGGTACTCACATAACCAGAATTCCCACCGGTGTTACCTCCACTTTGCATAGGCAGAGAAGGGCTCCAATTAGCCCCACTATTTCCCAAAGCACTAAAATTCCCACTTGCAGTCCCCAAGTCACTCTCAGGGCCGGAAGAATTTGTGGCATTGCCAAGGCCTCCATTTCCCCAAACATTACGAGTAGGGGAGCTCAAACTAGGATAATTTCTTCCAGTTCCAACACCATAGCCAATAGGAGTGCTAAACCTGTTTGGATTCCCATTATAATAGGGGCTAATTATCCGCCCATACCCCAGACTGTTGGCAAAGTTGGAACTCCCACCATAGCTCGGGTTCATTGCTTGTTCTATATTCATACCAATTCCATATCCGGTGGTGTTAAATGGAGGAAGCCCTGTTCGAGCACTAGAGAGAGGATTAAACCTACCATCCATCCTGACTCCAAAGCCTCCTAGAGGGCTTAGATTATATCCTTGAGGATAATTATTGAGGATGTTGGCAGCCCGACTCAAACCATAATTATATCCTAAAACAGGGCTACGGCTGGGGCCTGGAGATAGTTCTTTAGGGACTGCCCTCTTGACCTCAACCAGTTTACCATTGAGTTCGTGAAATGTTTTGTGAAGGACTCTGTCTACTGCTTCCTCTGAATCATAAGTGATGAAGCCGAACCCTCTCGGCCTTTGTGTGATATGATCATACATCACTACAACATCAGTAATTGTACCAAACTGATCGAAGTAATTCTTAAAGTCACTCTCAGTGACTGTAGACGCTAAACCTCCCACAAAAATCTTTTTTGTGCGACCAGGTGCGGGAGATCCAGCGATGCCACCAATGTTCCTGTTTAAATTGTTTTGGTCATCTCTAGGGACAGCCTTCTTTGCCTCAACCTGCAAACCAATGAGCCAGCAAGTTTAATTAAACAATTGCATAACATTTTCTGTCCCTACCTATCAATTGGATAGAAACAATGATCTCACCGTACGACCGTCGATCATATGCTTATCCATAATTACTCTCTCGGCAACAGCAGGATCAGCAAAGACAACGAAACCGAAGCCACGGGCACGACCGGTGACACGATCTCTCATTATCATTGCCTCCACCACTTCTCCATACTTCCTGAAATACTCCTTGAGACGTTCCTCATCAGTATCCCAAGATATCCCACCAATGAAGAGTTTACCAAGATCTGATTCCATCTTATCTGCAATCATCAATCACCATTTTCCCAATCTAAAAATCTAAACTTTTTCTCGGCGCGATTGGATTCAAAGATTATATTTTCAAATTAAACCAGAACTCTAACAACAACAATTCAGCAAATGAAATTCTTGGACAAGTTTAAAACAAGCAGCCCATGAATTATCAAATCAGCAGCAGCAGCTACAAATGATCTATCAACAGATCAAAATGTGAACAACAACAACAATCAAACAGGATTATTAAAAGAAACAACACACCTTTCGATGTGAATTATAGACAGAATCCGATCAAAGAAAACTGGGTAGTTGTCAAATCCAATCTAGGATCATCTGAAAAACTTCATGCACCAATCAGAGAACAACCCAGAGTTCCTGAAGATAAAAAAAAACAACGAAATTTGAGATCAAATTATGTGGATCAAGACAAAGTAGAAGTGTGTAGAAAAATATCAGGAAACAGAGAAGAAAAGATGGAAAAAAATTACCATAATGGAAATAATCAAGATCTACGATGATGAATGATGACAATGGAGACAGAGTTTAGCTCTTTCTATTCTTCTGCTGTCTCTTTTCTATTTTTAATTATATCAAAATAAAGTAATTTGAGGAGAAAGCAAGACAGAAAAGATAGAGGGGAAATATATATATATATATATATATATATATATATATATATATATATATATATATATATATATGTTGGAGAGAGATAGAGATTGGAGTATGCAAATGCTTAAAGCATAATTGGAGTTGCCTCGTAAATGGCAGGAGAAAGTTATGTAATTTAATGAGGGTAATTTATGGAATAATATTCATTTAATATTTATTTAGTTAAATAGTATTCAAACCATTTTTTTTTGAAGAAATTATACTTTTTAATGAAAATGCATAAAAATCGTTTTTTGAAGGACATAATTTATAGAGTATCTTTTTATCAATATGGTTATTTTACAAATGAAGATGCATCCATTTATTGAAATTTTTAGATACATTATCTCGTCAATTAATGTATCCTCTAGTCAGTCATCACTTCTTAATAAGATTATTGACAGATTCAAGAGATCTATCAAGATTAAATTTATGAATCGATAGTTACATTTATTCATTTTATTAATTTATGAATATCAATCGTGATCATGGCCTACATACATGTATAAGGATCAATATATAAACTTCTATGTTAAGTATGAGAGAGGATCTCCTCTTTATCTTTTAATCGTGTTCACTTACTCTCTTTTTATTCTTTTTCAATTATTATAAACGTCATCGATAGGTCGTTTAATCACCAATTACGATTCTCCGCTTAAACTAAAAGGATGAATCCACCATTACAATTTCTTTGTTTCCGTCAATACTATCTAAAGCTATTTGAGTAAATTGAATGCGAATGACCACGGTGCAATGACACTTGTTTCGGTCGCTGTATTTGCAGTGGACCTGACTCATCATCATGATTATGTTGTCGAAGTTTCAGAAGAGTGGTTGTTCAGATTCTTATACATAAAAAATGCTATCGCTGCATGAATCATGCTCCCTGATTGACTCCGTTGATCGTCATGCAAATGCAGAGGTAGACAACCACCAACACCACTGGTTGTGGTCTCCGTCGGTTCACTTCGTGGAGAGGGTCCTCCAGAGATGTGTCGTATTAGTCGATGTTTGAGGAGGTGACTTTCCATGTCAGCTTTCAAATGTTGTGTTTGTTTGAGAACCAAGATGCACGCTATCATTTCATAGCTACCCTTTGTTTATTTGTTTTCGGCTTGAGAACTGTTTGTTGGATCGAATTTAATATCAACTAATAGTTACTTTTAAAAGTAAAACTATTGTCACTGTATCAAATAACTTGTCCCTCTAAAAGAATTTATTAAATGATTATAATAGTTAAAAAAATATTATTTTTCTTAGATACTTCGAGTTCATGCAATAATGTCTATAGAATGTATATGCATTCATTATCAATGTGCGTATTATTCTTCTAAAGATTTCGAGTGAGTATTATTCTCCCTAAAGATTTCGAGTTCATGCAACAATATCTACAGGACGTATACACATTCATTGTTAATTGGTTAAGAGAATTATGAACATTACTACCATATGATCACTCCTTAAAATATAAAATAACTTAACTCTGTTAATTTAGGATTGGATTTAGTGATTAATGTTATTATTCATTATGATGGATACTTGAACGGAATTCGATGAATTCTGAGTCGATATAATCTATTATTTATTTTTTCCAATAAGGTCCCTATTTGATCTAATAAAAATAATATATATATATATATATATATATAGAGTATATATATATCTGATATCGAATCAAATGAAATTTTTCTAAATTCAAGTCAGGTTGGGTGACAGGAGATGTTATAATCAATTTAGGTTCGGTGTATCAAAAACTCGATCCGACCTATAACCAACCATTCATAAACGACTGAATTATTAAAATACCAATCATACAAAAAAAAAGCTATAAACTGTAAACAAATTTTAACTTTATATTTATGTAAATCCCTTAATCAGGAGCAGATTTATCAATCAGTCAGCAATCATAGACTGAAAGATTATTCATGTGACATAAGTAACTGAATATTGCAACAAAACGAAACCCTAAAATCAGCTGTTCTCAAAATTTTGATTCCATCAAACCATCTAAGGATGTTGGAAGCTTGCCTACATGTAGGACAAAAGAACTGACAAGTTATTTTGTCAAATATTTAAATAATGCGGTGAAAGATGCAATTCATCAATGTATAATTTATCAGCAATTTTTTTTTCTTTTTTCCCTTTTACTGGCAAAAATTGAAGCTTGAAAACTTGTTCATATTCTTTCGATTCCATCAACTATACATAAATATGCCCTTATCGCCGCCAGAAGCGACCTTGTTGTTGCCTTTGTTCTTGCTTTTGCCTGTGTTACCATTGTTCCAAATCAAAAGGCGTTTGTCGAACAATATTTCACCGATGTTATCGAGATTGAAATTGCAAAACTGAGATGCAAAGGTAAGAAAGAACTTAACCTCTGATACTCTTTAGAACGCTTGAGAAACTCTTTCGCAATATCTTTTCTTTCGTAAGATTGTAAGACTTGTCTGATATCAGGTGGACTATTCCGGGCTACATCTGTTGAAAAACCAAAACAGATAAAACTAACCAAGAGAGACTGTTTAGATCGATCAACATTAACCACACTGGTCAGCAAGCATACCATGTTATAGATTTGAACAATGGCACCAAGCAAGGGGAAAAGAAACTGCATAAAACTTACATTCAAGAAATGGAATAAGATCCAAAAGTGTCGTATCCTCGCCCTCGAGTTTGAATGGCTTAATAGGGACACAGTTTTCAGGTTGAAGGCTAGACTCAAACGCATGAGCACTCACATATAAGATCTTGGCTGGATCCCTGTTGAGCTTTGAAAGATCCTGCCAACACCAATCATTTCTTAAAAGAGTGCTCGAGCTCTTAAAGACACTCTCGTAGATCAATACATTTCATACAGCATAAAACTGAGAGGAAATACAAAGCTAAAAAGTAATCAACTATAACATACTCTATAATGCTTGCCGTTCTGATATTTGGTATCGCCCCTTGATAGTCTATATCGTATACAATGGTTAGGATCCAACCTTTCGCAGACAGGATCAACGTACTGGATGAGCCAAAATGAATAAAAGATTAAATTAAATTGCTGGTAACATCAATTATCCAATACTTATGTATTCATATTGTTGTCACAACGAAGGAGCTTAAAGTACCATATTCATCTGGTCAGAATACACAACAATTTCGTAGTATTTTGCCAGATGTTCCAAAAAGGCATCAACTCCAGGTCTTTTGAAGGTACGCCAGCCTCTCTCTCGCTTTTCCAACCAAAAAGGAGAAAAAGAATTACAAACATTTGATGTGAGTTTAATAAAACAAAACAGAAAAAAATGTTTATAAGGAAAATATAAAATAGTTTTTGAAGTCAGAATATTGCCTTCCAATCTGTATAAAGTAATGTCTCATTTAGATCCAGGACAAGCGTAAAAACATGTTGTTCTTGAGGATGCAAATCAGGAAGAAGCTTATCTGAGGTTGGTTCAGTAAATTCCTGAAACATGAGATACAGTATAAAAATAAATAAAAAATGAGAGCTTCATGCTAATATAAAGAAGAAAAAACAAAAGATAGGAAGGCGGTAACATAAAAAAAAAACAGAGAAGAGGAGAGCACTCACCGACACATTTTCTTCCACTAACTCCTGAGATCCAGATAAGATTCGAGTGCTTTTGCTGGAACTGAAATTTTACAAGAAAAGAAGCCATAAGCAAATAGGAATGGAAGCAAAACATGTAAACCAGACGATTGTTGAACAAGTTAACAAAGAGTAATGAGCACCGAAAAATGAACTCGTTTTGCTGGCTCAATAATCTTATGATGACGTAACCCAATTATTCTAAAGGAACAATTATGGACAGTTAACTAAAAAGGCTAAAACAAAATGTAAAAAAAACTCTGATATCAAAATATTTTTCTAGTAATTAGATTGGCATACAGAAGAAAGAGATAGAGAAAATTGCAGCTATGAACAAAGAAAGGAGCAATAAGAAATAAAGAAATATCATCACCTGTCATAGCAGGAGAGTAAAGTAAGCCTCGATATTTCTGAAAAAAGAGATGGAAAACTGATTCATTCACAGAAGCAACAAAACAATGACTATATCAAATTAATAGGACTTAGAAAATGTGCAACATATATCCATTCATATGCGGCATAACTGATATCAACACACTCACCGAATCAAAGCCACCGATCATACAGGAAATGACCTATGGGGCACAATGATGGATGACTTTTTTGTGATTATTACAAATTTTAGCATCTAAACTATTTTCCTACAAATAGAAATGAAATTGTAGCAAGATATTATAACTAATTAAATAGAAATGCAGAAGAAATCGATAGCATATGAATGAGAATCAAATTATACGTCTACAAGTTATATAATTAAACAAATTGTACACGGCATTAATCAAATACTAAGCTAAAATGAAAAATTGATTTTAAAAAATTAAAAATCCAAACAAACTCAAACATACATCGACAGCAGATGCATCTTCACTCGGAGCAAAACTTGCTGCAGCCCGCAATGCCTTTGCCTTCTGATCTACTTCCTCGTACGAACACACTGTAAAACGAATTAAATTTTAAAAAATAAACATTTTTAATCATATTCAAAACCCACATTTTAAACAGGGATGCAAATTAAATCACAAATGATCCAATCTTAATCAAAAGAAGAAGAAAAAAACTTACTGTAAGAGAGATAACCAGCATAGCCAGCAGTTCCTGTAATAACCGCGATGAGCCCGTACTTGAGAAAGCTCCAAGCTTTTCCTCCCGAAGCTTGTGGGGCAGCTTCAGGATCCGGATGAGGACGAGGAGTCTGAGATTGATCGGAAAGAATGGATTGTGAAGCAATGATCGTTTCTCGAGCTGCATTTGAAGAAGAAGAATCGACTCCTGAACTTAAAAACCTTCGATTAAAGAGGTTTGACCTGCATTTATTTGAAAGTACACGAGATCGAATAACAATCGAAGACATTTTCATTAGGGTGCTGGTTGGTTTGGTTTGTTTGATGAAGTTTCCAGTAAGGGCTTTTTTACAGATCGAATTAGCGATGAATTCTACACGCTGATGTTAAAAATGGACGTTTGGAAGCTGGTTTTGGTCAATCTTATGCTAGAATAGTGGAATCTACGTGGGAATGGAGCTGATCTCTCCGATACTTTGTCTCGTTTAATCGTGAATAGGGATGGGTTAGGATACGACTCGACGGGTTTTTTTCGTTTTGATTCGATTGAGTCATAATTTTAAAAAAAATTAAATTGACTTGGGTCGAGTTTTTTAGAGGAGAAGTTCGGGTTTGATCGGATTTGAATTTATGATCAAAAATTTGACTCTACTCAACTCAAAAAATAATATAACTTTATCTTATATATTTTTAAAGATAATTGCAGTAATATATCACTTTATATTATTTTTCTAATTAGATCTTTATTTTATTAAACAAAATTCATAATTTTTATAAATATATTTATTTTTGATCGGGTTAGATTTGAGTTCGAGTTTTATCTCAAAAACTCAAGTCGGGTTTTGGGTCGGGTGAAATCACCCTAAACTTAGGTGGAGGAGATCTATTTTTCTAGTTAGGTAGGTTTTAGTCGAAAACTCAACCCAACCAGATCCATGCTCATCTCTGGTCGTGATCAGGAACGGTCACTGATCGGGTTAAATTGAGTTTTTAACATTATTCATATTTGATTTAAATGTAATATTTCTTCATCCGTCATTTAATTTAAACTTTAAAAAATCATATGATTTATTTATTTTTAATGAAAACTCGTACTTGACTTGTTCCAATATATATATATATATATATATATATATATTTTATTAGATAAAATTAAAATTCTAAACGGAAAAATAAATAGAAGGATATTACAATAGTTATGTATGGAGGTTGATTATATTATTATTTTTGATTGGTATGTCAGTAAATGAACTGAACGAACATGAACATACACATATTCGTTAAAATGTAGTTTGTTCGTGTTCGTTCATTTAAATGATAAACGAATACAAATGAACGAACGTAAATGAATATAAATGAAAATATATATTTTTTTCTTTCCTAACAATTTTAGGATTATATTTTATTTAATTGTCTTGAGCTTTTTTTATTTGTATTTAAAATTAATTGAATTCTAAAATTTTATGGGTATCAAATTAAAATTTATTGGGCTTTAATATTTTAAATGGGTCTAGAGAGATTCTGCTAAACATAAATGAACGCAGATACACGAACATTAACGAATATAAACAAACATAAATGAACGAACATATTATCGAACGTTCACAAACGTAAATGAACAAATGAGCCATCTGTTCATGTTCGTTCATTTAATTAAACGAACACAAATTCTTGTTCATGTTCGTTCGTTTAATAAATAAACGAACATAAACAAACTTCCCGCCGAACGGTTCACGAACAGTTCGCTAAACGTTCGGTTCATTTACAGGCCTATTGATTGGGTATTTTTATAAGGGTAAAGTATACAAATGACCCTCTGACTATAGGATTATGTTTTGTTGAGTCCTCTAACTTCTAAAAGTTACAAAATGGTCATTTAGCCATTCATTATGTTCCAAACTCATCATTTTCCATTAAAAAATTGACGACAGCCTGAGCTGGACGTTAACATGCTAACTGAGATATGATAAAATTTGTTATCATAATCTCAAACGACTATCATAGCTTAGCAAGCATGTTAACGTCTAATTTAGACGACCATTAATTCTTTAACAAAAAGAACGAGTTTGGAAAATAATGAATAGTCAGATAACCATTTTATAATTTTTAATAGTTGAAGAACTCAGCAAATCAACACCCTATAGTATGGGGACCAATTTGTAACTTTTAATAGTTGAGGAACATAATAAAATAATATCCTATAATAGGGACCATTTGTTTACAATTTAATATCTATTTAATATGTTCGATATTGACGATTTTAAAAGGATTATAATAATAATAATAAATATACAATTTTTGTAAAAGAATCTATAACAGATATTATATTATATTCACTAAGATTAATACAAAAATCATTTGAAACCGAATTTAAAATATAATGTCAATTAGTAACAAAGGGTTATTATTTACACGTGGTAATATGCTGAAAATATGGACAAATTCATACATTATATATGATATTCACTTTTAAAATTTAATTAATCAAAAGCCGGAAATAATTATGCTATTGTGGACCTACTTGAATAATTGCAAAATTACATTGTCAACAAGGACCATGTTCTGAGTTTTTGTTTTTAGAAAGGCATTATTTCTTATATTCTTATCCATTTTGGATAAGAATTTCCACGTCGGAATTTTCTTTTGTAACATTCGAGTTTCATATTGATAATTTATCTACAAACTTTTGTAAATAATGCGAGGAAGCGTGTTGAACCTTTTTCTTAGAGTGAAAGATTCCGTATTTTATTTACAATTTAATTATCGATATTTAATTTATCTCAGATTAAATATTATAAATTTTATTACGATTGTATTTATTTCGATATTCAAATTTAAAGAGTTTAATGTTTTATCTCATAAAATGAAAGAATTGTTGATAATTTATTTACAATTTTAATGTTCAAATTTACAAGTAAAAATTTTGAAACCAAAATTATAATTAAGTAAAGGTGTGAGATTAGAAGGTAAAACTTGTGAAAAAATAGTTGCTTTTTTAAGAGAAAAAAATAGTTCATTTTAAAAATTGAAAAAGCGGTACACCGTTACTTTCAATTCATGTAAACAAAATAGAAAATTACAAATTATATGAGTTGGGATTTTAAATATTATTTTATTGTTTAAAATAAAAGATGCACTAACGAAATTCACCTTTTAAGTATTTGATGTAAAGAAACACATATTTCGAAATTTAATTTTTATGATTTATGTTTTTAGTTAAATAAGCATTATTTCAAAAACTAATTAGAAACGAGCGTTGAATAAATAATATTTAGGTGTTTTTTAATATAGAAAAACCGATAACGAGGCCTATAGATATGAGTAAACATATTAATTATAACTCATGTTCAAAATTCAATTAAATTAATCAAAATCAAAAGTGAAATGACTCGATTTAATTACACAAGACAATATTCCAAATATATTCAACACAAATACGAAATGACTTAAAAAAGTAATCTAAAATAATTTAAACCAGAGTAATTAAAACTTGAAATAACTCATCTGAACAAACATAACTAAAAAAAATTTTAAAATCTAAACTGATTCAATCATTGATATAGAGTATATACATGATTATGATTATTATTCTAAAGAAACATAAAGAACTTGAATATCATGATAGTGGTAAAATGGGATTAGAAAAAGTAAATCATGTTAAATTTCAACATTTTGTGAAACTTCAAGGGCATAGCTGCGTATTTTCCCATAAAACACTGTGCATGTAAAATATAGGGTAAACTACTTCAAATACCATTCACATTTAGGCTCGGGCTCGTTTATGCCACCAATGTTTCAATTTTACCAATTTTAACATTAAAGTTTAAGTTTAACTGTAATTATGTCACTCCACTGTTAATGGCTTAACGGCACACGACATGGCATCTCCGCGCCGTGACGTTACTGACGTGATTTCCTCACCAAACGATATCGTTTTGACATGACTGTATTTGGTGCTAAAAAAATCCAAAACCTTTTAGAATAAAGGGAAAGACTTAACCATTGTGCTAACTTAAATTGCTGATATAATTCTACAAACACAATATACATGACACGAGTCATCATTCCAAAAGTTACTTTCTAAGAAACCTATTAAATTATTAAAATTCACAAAAAAAACACCTTATATTCCATAATACTTAAAAAAACTCCTAAATTCTTAAAATTCCAAAAAAATCATAAACTCCCTAAAAATGAATCTTATGAATTTTAGGAATTACGATTTAAAGTTTATGATTTTTTGGGAATTTAGGATTTTTTTGAGATTTTATGAAATTAAATGTATTTTTTTGGGAATTTTAATAATTTTATGTGTTTTTAGAAAAATAACTTTTGAAATGCTTATTCGTATATTATGTTTGTAGAATTATTTTAAAATTAAGTTGACACAATTATTAAGTCTTAACCTTTGCTTCAAAAGATTTTAGGTTCAAATTCCTTGAAAAGCATTGCTAAATTTTATCGAACAAAATATAAAAGGGTTTGAATTTTTTTCCTTTAAAAAAACGAAGGAAAATAATAATACAGTACTGACATTTTTTTTATTTTATTCCCTTAAACAAAATAGAGAAAAATACCTTTCACAATTATTATTTTTATTTGATCTTTCTCTGTGCAAAACCAGAGAAATTGATGAGAAGGAGAAGAAAAAGAAAAGATGGCGTGCAAGTGTGGAGGCTACTACTACACTTTGAACGCAAAAGCGAGCTTCGATCGCGACTTGACCAAAACGAGGAAGTTTCATCTCCGGAACGTTTCGGTGATCCGCATCTTCACCAGCGGCTTCTTCCGCAGTAAATGGCGATCCATTGCCGGTAAACGTCGCATCTTGAGGTCGGTGCCTGATATTTTCATGATAATTTGTCATTTTCAGCCTTCCTGTTTGATTACCGAGAAAATTTAAGAAAATTAATTTTTCGGTATCCGTGCTTGATTTTTTTTGGCCTAATGTTATTAGTTTTAATAATCGAAGAGCTGATTGTAAGCGTTTATTTTGCGAGAATATTTAGGTTTTTCTTATCTTAGAGCTGTACATTGAATTTAATCGTTGGCAATAAAATAAGAGAACAAGGAAAATTGTTGAATTGATAAAATTCGAAATAAGTTTGTGTTAGAGCTGAAATATCAAATTAAGTGACAATTTTATACTTTATTAAATCATAAGAGAGAAATAATTACGATTCAGCTCTAACAAGAAAAAGAAGGAAGAAAACACTTGTAAACTGTAAAGCTATGTATATTATCAAAATTTTGAATTGATAAGGTCACTGTTTTGACTGTTAGACGTGTAGCTAATCAGCGATTAGGAAAAGTTGTTCTGCTTCGTTTATATTTTATGGCAAAGTTACGGGAAAAAGGATGAAAATTATTTCATCGACTCACTTCCAGTAGTTAGTATACTGTTTTCTTTAAAAGCAAAGCTTATGTTTCTGGTTGTTACTGAAATGTAATTATCTTAGTGTAATGAACTAGTTGTGTGGCTTTGTTGTGGCTGACGTGTTTCTGAGTTCTGTGATACTTCTTTTTCCTTTTAATGTTCAGGGGAAGGGATTGTTTCTGTTCATACAAGTTCCTGCTTGGGTTGCTTGGATTGCAGTGATATAATATTATATAGCAAACTTAACTAATTCAAAAGTTTACGGCCTTTTCTTTACCTGAATTATATACCATGCCCTGATGTAGAAGTACTGATTTCTTGCAGCATGGACGCTCGAGAGAAATCGAGATCAACGATATTGGAATCATCAAAAGATAAGAGGGTGCCTATTTTTGTAATGATGCCTGTGGATATATTCACTCTTGATGCCTCTGGGTGTCTGAGGATTAGAAAGTAAGGTTTTGGTATTACATCTGCTTGGTTATCTATATATGGTTTAGCTTTCCTTAGACTCATTGTCTGCCTCATCTTATCCAATATAAGGTCAATATAACCACCTTTGTCCTGATTTTTTTTAAAGACACCTTTGTCCTGATTAACATGCTTATTATAGGATCTATTTTTTTCTTTTCGATATATTAGATCTTATATATTAAGCCTGGTTTTGCTTTCAAATATAAAATGGTTTCTATTTTGGTCTTTGTTGTTTCAGACTCAAGGCCTTAACTGTATCTCTAAAAGCACTCAAGTTGGCAGGTGTTCATGGAATTGGAATTGAAGTCTGGTGGGGAATAGTGGAGCGTTTTTCACCTTTTGGCTATGATTGGTCTCTGTATGAAGAACTTTTTAAATTGGTTTCTGATTCAGGGTTGAAGTTGCATGTTGCTTTGTCTTTTCACTCAAATATTCACTTGTCTACTGGAAAAGGGGGTTTGAGTCTTCCACTGTGGATTTTGGAGGTTTGTCATTTACTTGTTATCTGCTATGCAGTTGCCACTGAGTTATAATTGTAGGGTTGCTTTGCTAAGGTTTATTTTGGTGCAACATATTAGACTCTTAGCACTCTTGCCATCCTATCCATCAAGTGATTTAATAAGATAGGATGGGAAAATGCTAATTTTTTCCTCAACCACCAATTCCATTTGCTAGGTGATTTACTTTTGTTATCCTGTAAGTTAGACTGCCTTATATCTTCCAGTATGTCTTAAGCTGCTCCAGTGAAAAGATTATGAGATCAGAAGTATACAAAGAGTACCTTATTTAGAATTACATTATGGTACTGCTAACTGCTACCTTTTCCTTTTGCTCTCAGATTGGTGATGTAAATAAAGATATATATTATAGAGATCAACATGGGTTCTCCAACAATGATTATCTCACACTTGGGGTGGATCACATTCCTCTGTTATCTGGCCGGACTGCGCTCCAGTGTTATGAAGATTTCATGCTTAGTTTTGTTAACAAATTTGAATCCTTTATTGGAAATGTAATTGAAGAAATAAGCATTGGTCTTGGTCCATCTGGAGAACTTAGGTACCTTATGGTTCTTATGCCATTCTTTTTCTTTTTGTTCAAACTGTGAAGTTCTTGTTGAAACATGATATGAAGTCATTGCATCATTTTCCTAGTGCAGGTATCCTGCTCATCCTTTTGGTGACGGTAGATGGAAATTTCCTGGCATTGGTGAATTCCAGTGCTATGATAAGTACATGTAGGCATAAACATTTTCCATCCTGTGATACAAACTCAAGTGTTTCAGTATTCTCAAGATAGTTTTACTTACAGGATGGAGGACTTAAAGATGGCTGCATGCCGAGAAGGAAAGCCTCAATGGGGGGACAAAGGGCCACAGAATGCTGGTTGTTACAACAGCGTTCCATCAGGGGTGCCATTCTTTGAAGAGGGAAAGGAGAACTTTCTATCTGATTATGGCCGTTTCTTCCTGGTACCATACGTTATCTGTAATATTTGCATACCAGATTTATGTCTGTACATTGTGCAGATTAATATTCATGCACCAGTACTACATGTACTGCTACTATACATTAACTCAGAGGACTCATACCATCCATTTGAATTTAATGCATTGACAATATATTTGAAATATAGAATTGTGGTACTGGCCACTGGGTTTCTTGATGGTTTATTGAGATGTTATTTATGGTCAGGATTCAGTATGGCATTTTTATTTTCTAAGAAGTTACTCGTATACTAAAATGATAATGTATGAGGTAGAGCTCCTTCCGGTTGAAGTTGTTGTTTCTTTATCAGTAGCTATCTAATTATTTCAGAAATGATAAAATAATGGTTGACCCCAAGTTTATCTTAGTCATATACTCTTAGGTAAGTTTTTATAGGGAAAACTGTGTTTTGCTAATAACATCTTTCTTTCAGAAATCCAATGTGTAAAGGCTGTCTCACATTAAACATGATTACGGAAACAAAATTACTCAGAATTTACGATCCCGGTTTTGGAATGATCTTTTGCAGGAATGGTACAGTGGTAGGCTAATTTGTCATGCAGATGCCATTCTTGCGAAAGCTGCAAAGATACTGAAAAAATACCAAGAAAATGAGCAAACTTCTGTTGTGTTGGTGGCTAAAATTGGTGGAATTTATTGGTGGTACCAGACTCTATCACACCCTGCTGAACTTACTGCTGGTTACTACAACACTGCCCTCAGAGATGGCTATGATCCAGTCTTCTCAGTGTTGTCTCGCCATGGAGCTGCTTTGCATATTCCGTGAGATATCATCACTATCTAGTTCCCCCCCCCTTCTTTTTTAGATATGTTTTTGTTTGGTTGGGTTTCCTTTTCTAAAACTTTCTGCATTATCCATTTAATGACTGAAAATAGTTTTGGTGCAATATTTGGGGTAAACTGAGACTTGCCTGCAAAATACAGTGGGCTGATTGATATACAAGGCTGTGAATCTCCTGGAAAACCCAACGTTGAATCTCCTTAATGAATTTTTTATCTTGTAGAAGTTTGGAATCAGTTTGTTCCTTTTTGCAGATTGATCGCATCTTGAAGTTAAAATTTACGACTTGTAATATAGATATTGGTCGCATCAATAATTGCAGTTTGCCCTGTTTTTTTGGTTGCATTTATATTGGTTTTAGATATTTAGCCATTTCCTTCCTGCATTTTCATTTCTGTAGCTTACCTTGCAGCTGCTTAGAGATGATGGACAGTGAAACCCCACCAACCTATCTCTGCAGTCCTGAAGGATTACTGAACCAGGCACGAGTTCTGTTTATTGACCAAATTTTCTTTGCTTCTTTGACCTAGAATTTTGTGATTTTTGTCATTGCAATTTTAGCTTCTTAAATCTGCAAATTGTACTGTTCCTTTACCTGAATTTATTTTGTAATAGATTTTAAAAGTTTGTGGTAAAGTACTTTGTCATTTTCCTTTATGCCTATAGCGACCTGTCAATTTGTGTCTTTCTTCATGTATTTTGTCATGTTGTTTATGGTCATATTTTAGTTGTTTTTCTGTGTTGTGTCTAATATTGGCAAGATTTATGTGATGCTATTTAAGTTACTATTTAGCTGAATTAGTTTACAAGTGTAGCCTCTTACCATATGGCCCCTCTCAAAAAGAAGAGAAGGTTATATTGTTATATCTCCAACTTAGCTGAATTAGTTTACAAGTGTAGCTTCTCACCATATGCCCCTCAAAAGAAAAAAGATAAGATTTTTGCAACGAGTGAGCCTTAATCTGTGGTATCTTTTAGGGCTTAATGTGCTAATTCTTTTCCAGACATCATGTAAAACTATGTTGAGAAAACATCTGGTTGCATGTTATAAGAAAATTTAAATGAAGTTGTTTAAGACTATATTATATGGTATTTAACCACCAAAGAATGAATGCCAGATGCAACTTGTCTCACCAGTCATTCCTGTGCCAAAACCTTTTTTTTACCTTCCGACTTTCAATGCAGATGCAGTCTGTTTCAAAGAAAAGGATAGTTAACTTGATTGGAAGAAATACAACCGAACGACTTGACAAGGTAAATATCATTCTACCTTAACACACTCTTGTCTACCTTTAGATCAACAAAAGATTTAGTAATTTAATTGTTTTTTTCTGGTAATTATCAATATGGTACTTGTGATAGCTTTTAACTCCCAGGTGCGTAATTAGTCTATAGCTTTATCTAGTTCAATCCTTTTCCTTCTGTGGTTCCTTTAAATTTTCTTTTGCTGGTATTTTCTTTACTAGAATAACTCATATTTGCTCTCTTGCTCTTTTAAATTCTCGCAGACTGGACTATGGAAAATCCGTTTGAACTGTTACAATCCCCAAGCAGAAGTTGTAAGGTCATTTACTTATTTCAGAATGACTGATAGTATATTTAGGGTTGAAAATTGGAATAACTTTGTACCTTTTGTCAGAATGATGAGCACCGATTTGTAATATCCTGTTTCAAACTCACGATTTTACTAAGCTCATTTAAGATATCCCTGCCCCTACTTTAATTTTTTCTCCCGACTGGGGAACGAGCAATTGCGGAAGCTTTTGTGCCCTCGTCGTATGCCTAGTTAATACATCCTTTTCTCATTCACGTCCAGCTTTGAAATTTTTTTAGATGTTGGAAAGTAAATCCAAAGATTATCAAAAGTTTCATCCAAATCTGAGTAAGCTAAATGGTATGAAAAAAGTTAGAAATTTGGTTGGTTAGATATTAAAGCCCGTGTCCTATTTCGCAACTTACAGCTGTGTTTCTTTTGGTTTTTCAATATTTTTCTGAAGTATCCTTACCAACACCTGTATCTGACATATATTCGGACATGAGTACGGGAATATCCGGATATGACCCTTCAAGGACTCGTCAAGCACAAGGACAGAGAGAGAAAAACTGGACATACCCCTATCGGATACATTACATTCCCATATCTAACACTAACACTCGAGTTCGAGCAACATACTCTCTTCTCCTGAAGGTGTGAAAAAAGCACCATGGAGCTCATAGATTGCATTTGTAGAGAGGCTGATGTACATGGTATACAAAATTTAGATCAGTTATCTTAGGAGAAAGATTCCGTTGAACTGCACCTTTTAATAAGTTTTTTGCTTGTTTTCTACTCATATATGTTCTTAGGCCACGTTGTGCTATTAAAGGCACTTTCTTTGTTTCTGCTATTAGTCATTCAACATGTTTATATTTTGTGGTAAATTTGAAGATGCCTAGGGTCGTATTTCTGTATCCCAAATCTATGTTGGTACAATTCTTCATTTTTCTGGAAGTACTTGTATCGAACATATATTCATATGCGACACTCACATCCAACATTGGTCCAAATAGAATCGACGATGTCAGTACTTGGTATAGCTACATTTGTTGGATTGTTTTTCTAATTCTTCAAAGATATCCGACATTTACGCCTGAATCCGATTGACATGGACCTAAATTGAATGTATGGTGTTAGTTCTAGTATAGCAAATATTTGGGTAGAGAAACTTGCATTATCTGCAGAATTGTTTTCTAGTGCTACGGAGATATTCCCTTGGCTATTTGGTTTTTGGGTTGTCCAGTTCTACAGATTGCATGCATCTCTACTAGAGATGAACATTTGTCGGATTTCAATCCGATCCGGATCGGTTTTTATCCGATCCGGTTTTTTCTCATAGAAAAAAAACCGGTTTATAAAATAACCGGTTCGGTTTTTAACCGGTTTGGAGGGCCGGATATCCTAACCGGTGTAACCGGTTTCGGTTATAAAAAAACCGATTTTAATATTCCAGATTGCTCATAGGGAATCGATTCCCCCCCAAGGGGGTACCGATTCCTCACTGAATGGTTTGGCTCCGAGATTTCCAGAATGCTCGGAGGGAACCGATTCCCCCATAGGGGGTACCGATTCCCCCCTATTCAACGGTCGAAATATTTGAATTTTACACTTAGGGAACCGATTCCCTATGAGAGGAAACCGATTCCCTATGAGAGGGTACCGATTCCCCCACGCTCCAAGCATTTTTATTAAATGTTTTCACACTTAAACGGCTATATTATCTTCATTAATTATCACTAACGTTCAGAAGTTATTCAAAGTGTATTTAAGCAAGCTTAGAAGCCATTGATCAAAAGACAAGAAACATCAAGCAACTAGAATCAAGAGAGAATCAAAGAGAAAGCATCAAACCTCAAGTTCGATAAATTCAAATACTTAATTGAAATACTTAATTAACTCAACATAATTGAAATACTTAAATACTTCCAAGTTTGATAAATTCAAATACTTAAAAACTTCCAAGTTCGATAAATTCAAATACTTAAAAACTTCAAGTTCGATAATTGAAACAAAAGTTTACGATAATTGAAATAAAGTTATAAAATAAACTACATTGCCATCTCTTCTTCATCATCTTCGCCTTTTTCGTTTGGAGGGGATATTCCAAGTTCGACTTCTCCAATGTGTAAGTTTGCTTCCAAATCGGTATCAATTGCATCTTCTAGGGTGGTGATATGTTGCTTACGAGCCGCTCCATCCAAATAATCCTTTAAACAAATGCATACTTCCACCGACTCGGGACTTAGTCTTGATCTCCGTTGCGATATAACCCTGCCACTAACAGAAAAAGCGGATTCCGAAGCTATCGTAGAAGCTTGGACGGTTAGTAAATCACGGGCCATGGCGGCTAGAATCGGAAATTGTGCTTCCTTTTCTTTCCACCAAGCCAAAATATCCAAACTTTCAAACTCTTCAAATGTCATTTTTGATAGAAAATCGCATGACATGTAATTTCCCAACTCGCTACTTGGGGTGGTAGTACGTGATCGTTTGGATTGGAAATTTACAAGAGTGTTAAAAAGATTCAAATTTATGTTACTTGGACGTCTACTAGATGATTCCGCATTCATTCTCATTTGATCGTGTATTACACTACTTGATCCGTATTTAGTTAAATAAATTGCAAACATGTCTCGAAAACATTTGTTAAAATAATTTATTTGGTTTTGGACAAAGTTGGGTTCATCATCGGTTAGATTAAAAGCAAACGCAATTTGTTCAATTAGTGTTTCAACCCCACCAACATTTAACGTTGGGTTTAAAGCGGCGGCACAAGTAAAAATGGGGGGAATCTCCTTAAAATATTTTAAAAGTTTTTCCTTCATTGCAAAGCCAATTTCTTGAAAAACTTCGGTTTCAAATTCAAAGTCATTTAGTCGGGTAGCCAACAAAAATATTTGATTAAGAACCAACGGGCTAGTAGGGTAATAAACACCGGATAAAAAAGTTGTTGCATTTTTAAAAACCTCAAGCAAATCGGTTATTTTGGCTATAGTTTCCCAACTCGAATCCGGATAAATGTTTGGGACATGACCCCTCTCGAAAAGTCGATCGTGAAATGTTTGCAATGTTTCCCTTTGCCTTAAGGCAGTATGCATCATCATCCAAGTTGAGTTCCAACGAGTTGGACAATCCAAATTAGGATCCAAAGCTTTTTTATTAACGGACTTACAAAATCGTTTATAATCATTTAGTCTTTTGTTGTTGTTACAAAGAACCGATTTTATCATTGTTTTAAATTCTAATCTAATCGGCTCAATAACCTCCAAACCGGCTTGCACGGATAAATTAATTATGTGTGCAACGCAACGGGTATGAAAAAACGCACCGTCTAAAATCGGTGAAAGTGATATTTTCAATCTTGGAACCGCGTTTGTATTATTCGATGCATTATCAAAGGATATATAAAAAACTTTATTTTCTAATTTATAAAGACAAATTACCCTTTTTAAAAGTGTAAATAAATTAGCACCGGTATGTGGCTCACCGAATAATTCAAACGCGATTGTTCTTTTCATCATTTGCCAATTATCTTGATCTAACCAATGTGACGTAACGGCTAAAAAAGAATTTCCGGTATTATAAGGGGAACTCCAAACGTCACATGTAAGCGACACACCATAACGGTGTTCTTGGAATCCTAAAATTATTTTTTCCCTCGTCGTACGCCACATTTTATAGCATCTCTTCTAAGGGTAGTACGACTACTTGAGTATAACGTGGTTGCATTAGTTGTTGAATTGTTATCGTGAAATCTTCATCATCAAAGTGGTCGAACGGCAATGCTTTTGTAATCACGAACTTTGTAAACGCTTCTCGTAATTTTTCGTTGTCGTAAACAAAAACACCACCTTGCGGTGTAAGATTCGATTGACTAGGATCTGATCTTGAGCGAAGTGCCTTGCATGATTTTGTCAAATGGTTCTTCAACGTTGTGTTTCCTTCCGATGCAAGAAACTTTAGACAAAGTTTACAACGCGCCCTCCTCGAGCCATTTGACATCTCACATAAATCGTAGTGATCCCAAATGTCTTTGTTTCGAGTGTGTTCGATCACTCTCACGACTTCAAGGTTTCCCCCGACGGAAGATTCAGCCGTGTTACTCATGATGAACAAAAAATTACAAAAGTAAGATTTGAGAGATGTTTAAGTGTTGTGTAATAAGATTTGAGAAATTTGTAATCAACCAAATACATCCCCAACCTATTTATACATGGTTAGGGTGGTAAAATGATAATTTTTTAAAGAAAAAAACGGTCAAAAACGGTCACAAAACCCTCCCAACGGCTATATTAACGGCTAGTTTTTTAAACCCAGACCTGTTTTTTTTTTCCGGATAAAAACCGGTTTTTTAACCCGTTTTTTTCAAACCAGTTTTTTATCCGGTAAAAAAACCAGTCTAGGTTTTTTTCTCCAAACCGGTTAAAATAACCGGTTTAAAAAAATCCGATCCGGTTAAAAAAAACCGGTTTTTCCCAAATCCAGTTTCGGATATTTTTTCATAAAATCGGATATTCGGATTTTTTGTGCACCCCTAATCTCTACTTTGCTGTACAGACTGCTGTAGGTGAATGCTACCTACAATTCTCCGAACCATGGAAGTCAAATTTTATTTATACTTTGAACTATTTTTGAGATATTATTAAGTTTAAAAATATTTTTATATTTATTTATTATATCAAAATATTAAAGTTCAAACCGAAAATACTTAAAAAAAATTAATCGTTAAATATCCCTCAATTCGATAATGATTAGTAAAGTGATATCTAGAATTATTTTGAAAAGTGAGTAATGATTTTATGATAAATGGTATCATAACGATTTTTTGATGTGCAAAATTTGATGATGAATGACAGTAAGACTAATATAATTGATTAATCATAATCAAACATCATGAAATTAGATAAAAAAAATATCATATTCGAATGAAAAATAAGTTATAATTATCCTATATTAAATAGGAAATAAAAAATCATGCAGATCTTTTAAAAAATTATTTGATCGTATAGCTTTTGTATTTTAAAAATTTTTAATTTTTAATTTGTAACGCACGTTCATTAAATTTTATAGTTAATATTGTTCAGTGTGATAGTGATGAAGTGGATTATCTTGTATTAACTTTTTTTCCTTTGTCTAATACATGTAAAATTTTATACCAT